GAATGGAGACAGGGGGAGTAGTGAGACTAGAAGGGAAGATAAGAAGGACTTGGTGTGTGATTATTGCAAGAAGCCTAAGCATACCATGGACACTTATTGGAAGTTTCATCCAAATCTTATGCCCGCTTGGATAAGAAACAAGAAGGGAAATGCAAATGTAGCCACTACAGGAGACAACTACACCACTTCCTTTGCACATACAAGTAGTTTATATGCAACTACGAATCTTGCATCCACTTCAGGTAAGGAGGGACTTCCCTGGATTATTTCAACTTCTCTTCTTCTCCTTCTCTCTTCCTTCTCTCTTCAAGAAACTACTTTCTTTCATATTTTTTAATTCAGTAGATTTCTACTAATTTTAATGAATTAAACAGTTGAACCAAATGATCAAACTGTTCACTTGTGAGCCAATCACCAAAATGGTTCTATCTCTGGTCATATTGTATTTTACCAATGTGATCAAAAGGGAACCTTTAACCAAAAGAGGAGAGGATAGATGACATATACTATAAATTCTTCCAGGTAAGACAAGGAAAAACATGCTCATGTTTGTCAGACTCTTGCATCTTTCTAGATATGCAAATATGTCTAGTGAAAAAGTTATCGCTCCTTCAATGAAGTACATGAGCATCCTTGCAAGTACCCTACTGATAGACACATACCAAGCGTTATATTAAAGATGGATTTTTTATTCCTCTTCTTTTTTCAGGCTGCCATGAGAGTGCCTTGTGTGTCCACAAGTGAACTGCTATGAGCAAAGATAACTGTCCATCCCTCCGGATTTATCACCCCCTCCAATCATTTGTAGTAAACGTCCAATTTCTTCCACATTCTATTGCTTTCATTAACTAATTTGTAGGGGTGAGCGTTATTTGGTTGAAAGTGAAAAACCAAACTGAAAATTTTGTTTTTTTTTCCCTTTCAGCTTGGCTATTCTGGTTTTCAGTTAATTCAGTTGTTGGGAATTTCAGTTTCAGTTTCGGTTTTCAGAATTGAAAATTCAGTTAACCAAAAAAAAAACAAGTTATCCAAATTTCATTATATATGTGATTTATTAATATATAATGTTATTTTATATTTATAATATTAATGAAATTCATTTTTGAACCGAAAACTGAAGGGAAAAATTTCCCTTTGATTTTGGTTTGGTTTTCCTCTTTTACAATTTCAGTTTATTCGGTTCAGTTTTTAATTGGATAAACAAAATGCTCACCCCTACTAATTTGTACTTTCTGTGTATCATGTTCAATGACTAAATATCATCCAAGAAAACCCTTAACATTGGTTTATGTTGTTTCTTGGCATGCACGAGAGTTGTACAAGAGTTGGAAAAGAATGTTATCCACATCTTTTCTGGTACAAGCATGTTTGAGAAGTTGGTTACTTGGTTTTTTTATATTTTTTTATTATTTTGTTGTTTATTTAGTTTGAAGTCAGTTTATTTTGGGAATTGTCTCTTTTTTTTTTTGAGGTTTTGGAGGAAGGACACTAAAAGAATGTTTTCTAGGAGAATATGAGAAAGGAATTGCAGCATTCTGATTCTGAAAATTTAGGGAAAATAAGTTGTTGAGATCCCTTTCTTCTATTAAGTTAGAACTGCAAGCATTGAGAATTAAATCATTCACAAGGGATTCAAAGGTGATTGTCAATAGTGGGAGGATGGATATTAACAGTTTTGGAACAATAGAAAGAATCTTCGAATGGAGCTAACTAGTTTAGCTATTATCCGTCAACTTCACAGTTATGAAGTGTAACTCTGCTATTTACTTTTCATGGACTCCAGTCCTTGTTAGAGGGGTGGAATTTTCAATGGTGAGGAAGTAATTTTAAGCTAGCCTATTCAGATCCTGTCGTTCTAAGAATCCGAGTGACATGAAATAATAGTTATGGTGGATAATAATTTTATTTTCTGATGTCACTGGTAAACCTTTTATCACTGACTGGGGTTCTGTCAATCTAACTAGATGTCTTCTAACAAGCTCAAATCCAGCTTCATTGACATTAGTTTGTCTCGTTGATAGAAAGAGGAGTTGGGGGTTTGGCGGACAGGCTACTCCTATTGTTAGCCCATCAAAAAGCTCATGTACTTCATTTATAAAAATTGGTTTAAAATTTTAAATATAGACATGAAGAGATAGTAGACAAAGAAGAGAGAAGGGAAAAGGATAAATGTTGCTATGGTTGTTATGTGTAAACAAGACCCTATCCTTTTAGTGAAATCATTCATTGTAACCTCCTTAAAAAGGTCAATGAGGATAAGTATATAAAACATATGAAAGAAGAATTGCATTGGGACGCTCATATTATGAACTTACAGTTCAAAGACTTAAACTTTTTGAGGATATATTGAGTTCTATTGAAGTTTGCCGTACAAGTTAGTTATACTTCTATTTCTTGTAGAATGTAGGCTTGGAGAAAACAAGAATAGCAGCTTCATTAATTGGCCAATAAACAGGAAACATGAGTCTAAAATGATCCCTAAGCCATGCTAATCCATGCATATTATGAGCAACTGCATGATGCTCTACCCCTGCATTAGATCTAAAAGCAACCGTTTTTCTTTCTCACAATTTACTAGATTACTTTCAACAAAGGTAAACAAGGGGTAGATGGCTTTCTCACCATACAAATTAATCTAACATGAAAGGGGATGTGACAAAATAGGAATAGAAGAGATGGTGTTGCAAAATGAGAAAGAACTCGAGTTTGGACCAATACAGTTCTTAGTAGCTTCTTTCTTCTTTTCTCTTTTATTTATGGAAATGCTTCTTTTTAATAAATTGAGGAATTATGATCATAAGAAGTGTTAGTTGAGGTAACCAATAGAGAGCTGTTGGATGTGGGTTTGGATCTTTCAGCTAATCTATTATTTTATCCAGTAGAGGTTTTCTGATTTATAACTAGTGTAGTGCTATCACCACAAGCCTTATACGTCTCTAATCATAAGAGGAAGACGTAGGCCTAGATTTTTTTTTTCCGCTCCAAGCCTTATTATTATTATTGAACTTTAAGGTAAAGTAATGCATTAAAATCAAAAGGTTGAAATACAATAGAACCCCTGTACAATTAGGAACTTTACAGAGGAAATACAATATGCCCAATCAGCCAAACCCCCAAAACAAATAGAAAACTATAAGCTTCTTACAGAAGGGAAATCAATATCCAAAAAAGAACATGTTATGTCTGTTTTTGAATAATGGGCTTACATATTAATACTCTTATACGCCCATGAGGGTGGGTGTGGGATCAAAAGCGATGAAAAACTTTGCTTGTATTCTTGATGCCCTGATGCTGCCTAAAATTTTCATGCCTTGATTTTCAGGATGGGAGAATATGGAAAGAGCACATATCTGCAAATGCACAGAGGATGTCAGACTTGTCTGTTATGAAGGAAGAATCGCATCTTGAACCTGAAGTAGCTGGGATAAAGCAGCAGAGATCTCAATCTAATCGCCTGATTCTTCCATCCCTTAGCGCCCCAGAGCACAATCTTGTCCATCTACTGGAAGAATGTAATGCATCTGGAAACTGAAATTACTGGGTATCAATGTTTAAATGGGGTGGTCATGGTTGTGATTGTTTTTGGAATCTTTGCTTCATAATGTTTTTCATGGCTTCCTTGTGACTAATTTTCCTTGTAAATTTTATTAAAACAGGAAAAGAAAGACCTATGTGTAGTCCCAAAACATTGGGACATTGAATCTTATATTTAATATCTAAATAACTAAAGTCTCTGTATGTGAGCATGCAATTAGCTCCAGGGATGCATCTATCTATTGTTTGATTCAGGAACAGTATGCAACTGTGCTTATACTTCTTGTCAATCGATTATATTAATATTGTTGAGGAAAATTGTTATCTTTGGAATGACCCTTTTACCTTCCTTTCTTCATGGCGACCACAAGTCCACAGCCATGATTTAATTGTCTAAAACACTTTGAAATGAATAGTGCAGAGACTCAGATCTAGATAACAAATACAAGTATCTCATCGAGGTAATGTTCTAAGGTATATCAAGGAGATAAAGCCATTGTCTCTTCGGAGACATCCGATGAAAAAGGAGATTAAGCCATCACGAGTCTCTTCCAAATTATAACATGAGTATGTTGCAATCTTATTCATGATACCAGTCTAGAATTCGGTTCTCTTAGAAGGTGAGGCTTCTAAAAAAAGTTATTTGGATCATCTTTAACCTACTTTTTATTTTTTTTCAGATGCCACAAGAAGCTTCTCTTTAGATGGAATGTACTTGAGAAACTGTTTCTCCTCAAGACTCAGGGTTGGAACTGGAATTCTGGTTTGAGAGTTAGTCTAGCAATTGTTATGATTTTGCATGAATCCTTTTCCATAAGAATTTTAAGATGCTAGTTTTTACCTAGTAAGTTTCCTATGATTGCTTGCGGGAGGGTCTCAAGTCTTAACGAAACCATGTTGCAAAATTTGCCATTTCCCTTGATCTTCTAACATGAAAGCGAAAGACAATTAGCCCACTTTAAGATGTTGAACATTTAATCTCAGTGACATCAAAATTGAATCATAATATAACTTTAGAACTCCAGGATATCTGTTGCATGCTGAACAACATCTCATTTGCAGAACCTATGCAGACAATTCATGAGCTTGAAATGGATGCTGGCCTGATGGGTTTGATCAGGTGTTTCTGGGAACCACGAAAGCTTCCATGGTTGATCCATGGTTTCCACTGCCATGCTGGTTGGGATCTTCTGACTTGCCTTCCTTCAGAAGCCCGTGCTCCGACAGCTCGCTGCTGGAGGGAGACTGAAGCTAGGATTAGAAAGAAGAGAACAATGCTGGTGATCAAGGACCTTACCTGCCCCATTGTCCCCTGGAGATTCAGTTTTGCACTCCAAGGTCCTTTGGTTGTGTCTTGTGTGGGGATCTTAGGTTGGGTCTGGCTTATTTATAAAGCCAAGTAGCCAACGGCCAACTCCCAATTTCGGGCCAACAATGCTTGGACTCCAAGGAGAAATCATTTTAGCTCCCCTGTATTGATTGCTTGCTTGTGGTGGAGACGTGGAGTTGGTGAATGCCCGTGGTCGTAATGATTCAGTTAGTGGACAAATTACTGACACATCCCTGAGTTATTGTGATTTGTGCCCTGTCGGTGCCATGCTGAATAAAAAGTTGGGAAGAACTTTTAAGTGCTTGCTTTAACATTAATACATACTTAACTATACCATACCTTTATGCTTCGTTTGATTGCCATTTGCCAAGAAAGAATAGGATGAGATGGGATGGGTTGAGAAGGGATTTTTTTTCTGTCACCTGTATTTAATTGTTGAGACCAGTTAATCTCGTTAAATATGGTTGAATTCATTCCACATCATAAGACTTGTTTTGAGATGATGTGGCAATGCCGCGTGTTATGTTAACATGGCACAGTTAAAAACTCTTATATATTAAATATATAGCCTAATTGTAATAGTTAATATAGACAGTTCTCAGTTCTATGAAATACAAATGTCGTAACTGATTTTCTAGATTTGTAACAATTAAATATTTGCAACCATCATTTAAACAAGTATAAGATTAGCATAACTACGAAACTGACCACTAACACAAGAACAACTGTCGATTACGAATGAGGTTCTTTTGGAGATTTCACTTTCGCGTCAATATTCTTTACATGGATCCTAAAGATATTCCCAACTATTACTGCTGTAATTGAAATACCGCCTCTTTATAGTTGTCTTGACCTCACGTTAGACCACTATTACTTTGGTCCATTTATTTTCCTCTCCACTATATTCTCTCTTTATCTTGCCCCTACCATTCAATTAGTGTATATACATTGGAGCAAAGGCAAAGCCCTCCGACAAGAGGCCGAGAGAGCATCTCAGAAAAAGGAGACTACCTTCTCAATCTTAAAAGGATATTCAGAATGAGTGGGTCCCATGCTGCCTCTCAAGTGGGCTACTTAACGAAATAAAACCTAATTTGATGCCCTGAATCTAATAAAAGACTCAGCGGGTTTTGCCTGTACTAAGTACAGCCCTACTATTCCCGGTTCTCATCTTTACCGTGCTCCTGCTCTGTCTATGTCATTTCATCCTAAAAGAAAATTAGAGAAAAGACTAACATTAATTTTGTTTTGTCTCCATGTTTTTAGTCATGTTGCGTTACAAATTTCATTTGTATTGGCGTAAATGCATGAGTGCAAAAGGGCTGAATTGGTTTAGTTTTGCTTCAGATGGGGGGGTGGGAGGATTCTCTATACAGGAGTAAGGTAGGATGAACAAACTTTTTTGGGGTACAAGGTTTGCAGTGCCAATGAGTGTACATTTTTTATATCAGGTAAGAATGCAAATTATAATTACAAACAGATGTAAGTAAAACTGAAGCAAGTGCAAATTTTGCACCCAATTAAGATTGGCACTGCAACCAAAGGAAAATGTCCTTACCAACCCCTGATGATGCATATCTTTATGCTGAGTTTGGAAAGAGTACAAATACATGCAAAATACAAGGTTTTACATTCTGCATCAAGATTTTTAAAACCGGATCAAATAAGGAACCATTCCGGGTTCAATTCCTGAGTCAAATGGTCCAACCGCCCAATCCAAATGAACAGCCCACTCTGATAGAAAAAATAAAAAACAAAAAACAGCCAAAAATCAACAGTTCACTGACCAAATCAATAATTCTTGGCCAGAAAACAGTTTTGGGGTAAAACAGAACCAGTTTTCCGATCCAACCATCCAGTCTGGTCCGGTTTTGAAAACCATGCTCTACATATTTGTATTTGTACTCCTTCCAAACTGAACCTTAGTGCCTTAGTGGTAGATCCTACTTATTGACGTGGTAAATTCCTAATTTCCTATATCTAAACTGAATGCGTGTGATTAACATGTTCGTTATTTTACAATTGAAACTGCAGTCATGCAGTACCTTTCGAGACATGAAAACTGAGTGAAGAATACAATCTGATGCCTCTTATCATATAAATAATTAGTTACCCAAGTGCTGTAATTGAAACGACGTGATATTGATAAATATCCCAAAACTCCCCGCGATGAACAGGGAAATAATGACAACATGAACCCCCCACAAAAAACAAAAGGGGGTTTACAAAGACTCAGAGCATATCCCACATTTTATACCCAGCTACCAAACAGCTGCTCAGTAAATAAAGAAATTAAATAACTGAACGAGTAAAGTGAAAACTTAAATACTACCCCCTTCAGAAGCAGCTAGTTTCCTTCTTTGTTGATGCTCTGCAACCTTGTAGTCCACCACCTCACGAAATAGGTTTGCATCAAGTACACAGTCTTTGCTCCCATAAATTGCAGCTTGAACACTTGCCATCAGCTTTGCTATCTCCCTCCCTGAGAATCCCTCTGTCTTAGCAGCAGCTTCCTGGATGACACCATCTGACATACCCTTGATCAATATCTTCTGCTGTTGCCTCTGGAATAAAGACAGAAGCCAGTTGGACTTTCTTTGTCCAGCATGAGCTATGTACTTGTCTAAATAAAGTTTAAGAAGCTTGAAGCGTTCCTCTTCCCCAGGCAAGGGAAATTCAAGGACCTCGTCAATGCGGTCAGCAACAGCAGAATCAAGATCACCAGGGCGATTTGTGGCAAGGGCGAGGACTATGTCCTTGGACTGGTCTCCTGTGCGGAAGAGGAGGGCATTAAGAGCACTCCGCTGAGCTTCGCTCATGTAGGTCTTGTTCCGTCTGCAAATTTTGGATAGGGGTACAGATGTTCAGTCCCAATAATAAGAATTCAACAGGCAGAGACACATTTTAGATAACCAATAGGAAAACAACCATGTTATTGTGCGCACTTCTCCTCAGAAACACATGCATAAAATCCTAGTATGTTGCAAAATATTAATGGCTAGTCTAATCGAAGTAATCTGATTCGCATAGACTTTCAGAATTGCACTGCCTTGGTGAATTAAGCAAGGTATACGATCTTTGCTAGTTTCAGTGAGGTATAGAAATTTAGTAGCAAGAAAATATGAAGCCAAGCTTTTTTTGACCCTTCAGCATTTTCTTCCTCGTTACCAAGTACAATGGAATTCATCAAATGATTAGGATCATCAAAGCATTGCAAATTTTCAAGATAGAGATCCAAGTGATAGCCACTTGATTATGTGGTCCAGGTCAATGAGAATGGTGGCAGATTAAATCCCATTGTGCCAGGAAATGCTAAACTTCAAACAAGGTATCCAATCATGAAGGCATCTTTATGCAAAAACATAAAATAGCAGACATCACTTACTCGCATAAAAATGCATCTGCTTCATCAATGAAGAGCAGCAAGCCCCTCTTAGACTTCTTAGCCCAGTCAAACAACTGATGTATCTTGGTCACAGCTTGTGATCCCAGTGGTGCAACATCCCCACCAGTCATCAATGCATAATCCAATCCCTACATCATTTTGAACAAATTTAGATGAGTAACTAGATTCCTTCTTTTTTTAATTTCTACTTCCCTACTTTTGGTGATCATGTGTAGTTCATCAAAGTATCAGGGATGAACCACAAATTGGAACAAGTAGATAACTCAGAAGTCAGAATTGCTTGTGTTCACCAAAGGATGAAAGATTTTGCATGGAAAACTCAACTCAAGGCTCATGAAATACCAAATTGAAACTCTTAATAGTATATACTCATTGCTTTCAGTATGCATAAAAAAGCAGTAAAAGGACAAGGTCTCTCATACAGATTTGCGAGCAAGTTCTCTAGCAGCCATAGTCTTCCCAGTTCCAGGAGGGCCATAAAAGAGCATGTTGCGAAATGGTGCCTGATGTGATTTTGTATTTGCAGTAGCACCTGCAAGCTGTTCAATTCTTTTTTGAAGAGAAGCATTCAGAACCACATCACCAAAGCCACTTCCGTTACTGGAAGGAGATCTTTTATCAGCTTTATGCGATAGTGTGTTCATGGCACGAGATAATATGCCTGACCAAGGATACTTGCCTCTGGAGGATTCTCTGATCAAGGATGGTTGTCCTAATATTCTGTCAACATATCCCCAAACCACTCTGGCACCTTCTCTGCAATAAGCAAAACAAATATATAATTTCAAACAAGTGATTCATGAAAGAATCAGAATTCAAAGGCCTGAAGAACAAAAATAATATATTTACACTCAATGTCAATTATACCAATTGACAAGTGTTTCCCTTTAAGTCAGCCAACTGGGAAGTTCTTGGTTTTCTTCACTAGATTGTCATGTAAAACTTGAGTCACCAAGGTACATTTGAAGAGTTGACACTACTTTGGATAACAACTCAACCTATCAACTGAGATTATAATGTGGTGTCTTGTTTGGTGAAAAATCCATAGGTTCAAATTGGCTATCAGTTAGTCATTTGAAGGGTTGTCTGCTTCAGCCTCTTTGAATGGTTTATCTGGAGCTTTTCAAAGCAGCTGAATCTCAGCTCAGCCATCCCAAACAGGCCCATAAGTTAATGCCTGGGTGTAAACCCCACTTTTCTTCTTCTTGTTCTTCCTCTTCCTTTCTTCATTTCTCCTTGATCTCTTCTCATTGATATATCAAGTTATCAGCTAGGTGTGTCCACAGTCTATGCCCTTATAAATTGCAACCTTGGATGGTCAAGGGGCTGAGTAGAAGAGGAAACATGGTCTACTAAATTATACCAGTGGCTATATGTTGAAGGCTGGAGGGTTTGGCAGGAAAGAAATAGTAGAATTTTTTATGGTAAAATGGCTCAAGAAGATAAATTATTACTGAACATCACTGCTACTGCCTTTTGCTGGATGAGTGCCCTTACCAAACAGCAGAGGCTTTTCTTTTGAGGTCATATTTTCTGCTGATTTCCTTTGTAATTAGCTGTCAAATTGTTCATTTTTTTTGGTTTGTTGCTTGCTACCCTGTCATATAGGAGCTTTATTCCTGTACAGGTTATTATGAGTTTATCTTTATAAACTCAGTCTCAGATGACTTTTTGCAATACAAAATATACTTTTCCTTGGTAATTATCAAAAAAAAAAAATTCCTTGGTTCAAAAATTGCCAAAATCATGAGGAGCAATGGAGCTCATTTCATTAGCTTCCAAAAAAGTGACCCTAAGAATCAAGAATCAATATTTAGATTGCAGATATTCCAAAACATCTTATACCTTGTTGTATAAATTCCTGCTGCAAGTGCTGTCACTCCCCCAACAGCTACAACCAATTTATTTTGGTCTGTTAATATAGCCCGCAAGCCACCTACAAGAGAGAGAGAGAGAGAGACCCGTTCAACCAATCTATTTGCATAATCATATGCATTTCAATATAACATCACCATGCAATAAGCATCAATTAGCACTCAAGTCTCAGGAACCTAAGTCTATAAGGTGTGTGCACCCTCAGGCCTAGTGAGTCTGAAATGTATTCCTCACAAGCAGCAAAACAAAGTAATGTAAAATTCTCCAGTTACACATTACACAACTTCTGAGTACCCCAAACAAGTAGCTACATAGATGGCGACAAAAGATCCTTCCAACCAAGATGCAAAAGCCACCCCAACGGTTGGATGGAAACATGACATGGCAAAATGAGAGCTAAAAGCTCTATATATAGCTAGCAGTATGCAATAAATAAACAAATGACAGAAACTCCTTCAATCTGTTTAGACATGATGCATCCATCAATTAAGGAACTCCAAATTTTCTTTTGCTGAGATTATCAAATGGTATACAGAAGCCCCAAAACAGAAATACATACATACGTCATTATAAGTTTCTTGTACAGTTATGAAAAAAAGCCATATCCTAGAAAATCCAAGTATTACTGGGTTATACAAGTAGAAATATAGGTATGCCAAGATATCTCCAAATATCCAGGTATCGTAAATGGTGAGGATTCAGCAAAGCAAACAAGGTTCTAGTCTCTACTCTATGAGGTATTAGACTTAACCCAGGAAAAAAGGATCTCTCTCCCCTTCCACCCCCTCCTCCTTGTGTGTATTTTTCTTTTATTCCATCTTTGTTGTTTATAAAATTTTAAATTAAATAATATATAATACATGAATATTGCACAAGCCCAAGCTAAGTTGGACACAGAAAATAAGGAATATGCCTCATTTAATTTCTAGAGTTGGTTTGGCTTGGCTTTCTATCCTTTTATAGATAAAGGCAATGCCTTCATTCCCATTCTTGAGCAATGTGAGACTTGGAACAACACTAGTGAGTGTTACCACTGAGTGTTTTCCCAGGTTCCACATTGCTTAGGAATGAGAATGAAGACCTTGCCTAGGAGGATAACTCTCATACTTGAGTTGACTCATGTGTTGTCACATATTAACTCATAAATATTTCTTTATATGTTAAAAGTTTTATATTTTATAAAAAATAATAAACATTTGGTAATAAGATAAAATATATTTACATATAATATATAAAATATTAAGTATATAATTTATTAAATATGTTATATTGTATTTCATATATTATATGTTTAGAAATATATATTATATTATATTGTGGGCCAGGCCTCAAGTGTTAGGCCCAAGCCCATTTGGTCCTAATGCCTTTCCCTTCTTTATCTTGTTTAGTGCCTTACTTCAATAATCCTAATTTTACAAAGGTATATGTTTGTTTTCAATACTATTAGAGTTACTAATCCCTCCTTCATTCACAACCTCTGCATGTTCTTCATTTAATAACTTCCCAAAATAATTTTTCCATGTTTCCTTAATTTCCTAGTCTTTCATTAAGACTCTTTGATCTTCCTTTTTAACATGATTTAAATCTCTGCCTTTTCTTTCTTACATTTTGGCCAATTTATAAATTCCATTCTTTCCCAGTTTATGTCCCATTTACGATATAGTTTATCATATGCCTTAAATTTAACTTCACTCACTTGCTTTTTAACTTCCTTTTTTATGGTTTTATATTTTCCAAGCTTTCTACATTTTTAGTGTTTTTGCCAATCTTTATATCACACTCATTTTACTTTGGTTATATTTTGAATGTCTTTATTCCACCACTAAGTTTCTTTTTTTTTTCCAATCAGTAATTACCACTAAGTTTCTTTACCACTTTGTCATTTCCCTTTAGATTCTCCTAAAATGCCTTTTGCTACTTTTTTACTATTAGCCATTTCAAGCCATATATCATTAGTCTTTCCATCTAAATTCCATTTTTCTTCTGTTATTAGTCTCTAAATTGAACAAATTCTTCCCTTATTCGATTTGTCCACCTAATTCTTGGGCACCTATTTTTTTCTTTATTTGTCTTCCATTTTTTGATATACACTTCTACCACCATCTATCTATGTTGTGTTGTTAAGCTTTCCCTGGAATAACTTTAGTCTTTGCACATCATTCTTCTTCTAATAAGAAAAAAATACTTCACCTAAGTCTGATCCACTTTTAAAAGTTATTAAATGTTTATCCTTCGTTTTTAAAATCTGTGTTTACTATTGCCAAATCATAAGCTATTGCAAATTCTAAGATTGTATCTTTTATTTCATTCATCTCCCCATACTCAAATCCTCCATGCACCATATTATAAGTCTTTCTAAGTTTTCCCAGAATCACCTTTTAATGTTTTCTTCTAAACTCTCCTGCAGCGCATAAGCACTAATTATGTTAATTATTTCCTTCCCTAAAATAAGTTTAATTTCTATCCCCAACTCTTAACATTTACAATTTCATGTTTTAGATTCTTATCTACTATAGTTGCTACTCCATAATGAGATCATCTTACCAAACTAAATTTGATCTAACTTGTTGACCTGGAATATGCTTCAAGACAACAGCTTAAACTTAGGGCATATATGCACGTATCATGGAATTGAGTTTGCACCTCCTATATGCTCAAAAGTTGTGTTTATGGCAGCAACCCATTTCTCTCTCTCAGCATTTGCACGTTCTACTAGCATCCGTTTATTTACCTCTTCTGCTAACTTTGCTTCATGGGCCCTCCCCTCTGCTTCTGCCATAGCCTTTACTCTAATTGTTTCACGCTCTATCTCAGCCTTTTCCCTCTCTGTTTGCCGACGCTGTGCTTGAATCTGCTCTTCTGTTGCTCTTCGGGCCTGCTCCTGCCTGATGGATGACTCTTCTTGCATTTTTACAAGCTCTTGATTCCTTGCTCTTTGAGATTCATTCTCTGCCTGTAAAAACACAAGGCATTTAAAACATACTCCATTAACCAACTTCAGAATGGACCTAACGCTTAATACATACCTGCATTCTTTTCCTTGCCAATTCATCCTCATAGCGAGCCATTTCAGCTTTTGTTTGTGCCTTCTGTTGGGCAAGTTTCTTATGTTCTTCATATATTACTTGTTGTCTCTCCTGCAAGAAAGAGAGATGATAACAAGAAGTTAAAATCTGAACAAAGGTTTAATGCTTAATGGCCCATCACTTCATAATTATATAAGTAACTTGTAGGATTTGTAATAAACTAATAATTGCCCATATAACCAGAACCCCTTGTGCAGGACTTGAAATATTGCAATTTGCAAGCAATGCCTTGTCAAGTCTACTGATATAGTGAGATTACAAATTAGAGCATGAGCTTTCCTCTTAAGAACAATGGATGTAGATCACTAGATCAATTATAAAACTTATTTCAAAAGCTGCCTTCTCAACTCTAGAAAATGAATGGCAGGAGAAAGTGTCTATAAAAATCAAATAATCAATAAAATTAAACACAGCTGTATTTCACAAGAAAATTACAAGCCACATAAAGCTAAATAATTGCAGCAATTAAAGATGTTAGCAAACTAAAGGCATATTGATTAAAAAGAAAATCGAATAAATAGATAAATAAAGACCTTTAAGACCGATTATAGACTTAATTTCAACCGCTGCCTTCTCAATATAGAAAATTAAATGCAGGTGAAGGTGTCTAGTCTAATAAGAATCAACAAAATCAAAATATTGACTGCATTGCATAAGACAGTAACAGGCCATGCATTGGCTAAAGAATCAATAATCCATTGAAGCTGCCAGAAAACTAAAGGTACATCAGTAAAAAAAAAAAAAAGAAAAATAAATAAATAAAGCCCTTTCAGATCAATTATAGACTTAATTTCAAGAGCTGCCTTCTCAATTATAGGAAATAAAAGGCAGGTGAAGGTGTGTACAACTACAATAATCAACAAAACCAAAAAAAAGGCCACATTGCATAAGAAAACCACAAGCTACAAATTGTCTAAATACTCAAAATCCTTTTTTTTTTGGGTAAAGAATAATCAACACCAATTGAAGCTGTCAGCAAAATAAAGGCGTATGAGTTTAAAAGAAAATTACATAAATAAATAATGACCTTTCATAACCAATAAAAAAATCCATAATTGATTTCAACAGCTACCTTCTCAATTGTAAGAAATTAAAGGCAGGTGAAGGTGTCTATAAGATTGTATAAAACCAAAATACAGGCTACATTGCACACACACACACACACAAAAAAAAAAAAGACGCATTGGCTAAAAAATCCACATCAATTGAAGCTGTCAGCAAAAACTGAAGGCATATCAGTTAAAAAGAATAAAGTAATTAAATATATAAAGACGTTTAAATCAGATTTACTTATCAGGACATAGCAGTTAAAAGAAAAACATAACCTTTTTCTAGTTTGAGGACATCAATATCTAAAAAGGCACCAAAGACAACTGAAAATACAATAGACCAAGACGAGAATGAGCAAAAATGGCCTGCTAAGAGCTGTTAGTCTTACAGTCTCATGTTGAGATTGCAATGCCTGAAACTGGGCTTTCTTTGCAGCTAAATCCGTCTGCCTCGTCTCTTCTTGTTTCTTCATCAGCTCAAACACCTATACAAAACCAAAATGCCCTTCAATCCCTCCCTAAGCAAAAAAACCAAAAGAATCAAACCTTTGAACCAAACAAATCCACAGTTTGAACCTTTTTGCCCTGCGAAGAGCTGTTAACCTCTCGCACCGCCTTCACTCCTCGCTCAAGCGCTTCTGGGTCGAAACCAGACGCCGTTGTCCGCGGATAATCATTCCGAACCCGCTGAGGTTCCTCTTTTGCAGCTGATTCGGGTGGAGGAACTTCGTGAGAAGCTTGATGAGTCGAAGCTGACGAAGGATAAGAAAATGGGGAGTAGCTGAATGGACCATCGGCATAAGAATGCTCTACTGCTAAGGAGGCCGACGCTAGAGCAGAAAGAAGACCTGCAGCATAGGCTCTTGCCATTGTTTGTTTAGACCTTAGATTGAGATATCCAGCTTAAAATTAATCTTAAAAATGGTTCGAGAGCTTGAGATTGGGGAGCAAGAAAGGGAAGAGACATGAACCCGTCCAAAGTGGCCTACACAGGCATCAGAGAGACGATGAAGAATCAAGGTTTTGGTAGGGTTTCTAGTTTTGCATGAACACGCGTACGAGAGTCAGAATCCGACGCGTGCCCAAAAGTCTGATTTGGCAACGGTAAATATACTTTAGCCGTATACGTGTCCCGGAGTCCATGTCTTTTACATTTTGCCAAAGGGATTAATAATCTTTAAGGTAAATTACAAAAGACCTCCCTATAGTATGGGGTCAGTGACAAAGGCCCTCCTATATATATTTTAATACAAATGCCCCCTGAACTTTATCCATTAGACAAATACCTCCCTCCCTTGGCATTCCGACAATTATCTTCGAAAAAAAATTCTTATTCAGTTATTTTAATTTTTTAAATCCCTAAATTACCTTTTTTTTTTTATTATTTATTTGAACGTTAAGAAAGACATCTCCGACCAAATCACAATGGATACCGGTGACAGAGGGAGTAGGGGATGTGGCCGCCACATCTCCAGAAGTGGCGGTGGCGCAGGATCACGGCAACAAAGGACGTTGAGGGAGGGAGAGGAAATGAGAGGGGTGGCCATGAAACACTCACTCCCGTGTCGGTTTGTCACTCGGTAACCTTGTTGTTGCATTCCCGTTCCAAATTAAAAAAAAAAAAAAAAAAATGAATGTCATCAGTCACTCCCGGTCCCCCACTAATCATCCATTCATCCCACTATATCCATGAAACAAATTTCTCAAGCAATAAATGTAAATGTAAATCTAAATCAGCGAGAAATAGAATATCTAGGTTTGAATCATATCGTCAGAACGTCACCCAGCTTAATCTTATCTTCATCCCACACGGTCTGTTCATTCATACTCGCTGCAAATTAGGTTGTTGCAGAATACCTCTTGGTGTGGTAATGTTCCGTCCCGATGCTCTGCCCTCGGCTACTTGAATGGCAGCTCCATCGCTCTGATAAACTGGCTTCGTTGCTCTTCCATAGTCACACTCTGTTTACCGGTGATGTCTATGGCATCGTCTTTACTAACCAGAACAACTCTCTTGTTCTGGGTCGCTGCCGACTGCATCATAGCATTCGGGCCGCCTTTTTGGGTCTGTCCAAGCACCAGTATGATTGGTGAGAAAGTCATACCGGTTCGCCGGAGAAGAGATAATTGTGAGAGTTGCAGAAAATTCAAGTAGCTTGAATCCATTTCTCTTCATTTTTTCTTCATCGCAATCCTCCGTGTTCTTAATTGATGAAGGCACATAGAATGATGGCTTAGTGCGACGAATTAGAGTTCTATTTCTTAAAGGAAGAAGAGGTGAAAAACTCAAAGAACCAACGGTAGAGTAGCACTCCATCGAATACAAAATTTCAACAAAATGGATAGATCACTTGCAATTTTGACATCAGCAGTCGGGTTACTGAATCTACTCGTAATAAGGGGACACGTGGACGTGACTCGATATGGGTGACAACTTGGCATAGCCAGCTCGTTAGAAAGTAATACTCCAATACCATGAGTTAGGGATCCTTTGAGCTGAAATCATCCCGAGCTAAGAGCACCTCGGTACTCATCCCGAGCTAAGAGCACCTCGGTACTCATCCCGAGCTGAGGGCACCTCGGTACCAAGTCGTGGCATCAATTCATAATTCAGTTCGGGGTGTACGACCCTTAGCTCGAGAACATCAGTTCGAGGTAGAAACCAGCTCGGGTATACCGATCTACCCTCAACATAATCCCGATAATTACTCTAACGGTTCCTGAATTCCACGGGATCACGTCTCGCAACAACTAAGCATTATCTCCCCGTCCGATTCGGGCAGAAGTGATTAGCCTTATCAACTGATAACGTTATCTCCAGATAACACGGAAACAGACTCTATCATGGCAAAGATCATGGAACTACTCCGTAAAGCCCGCGGGGACTCCATTATATAAAGGCCTCCCTCCCAGGGCCCAAGGTACGCGCATTTTTACTGCTCACTAGCTCTTTTGTTCTCTAATTACTCTCAACTCGCATATACTGACTTAAACATCGGAGCGACCTTGTCGGGTAAGCACCCCCGGGTTTTCTGATTCTCTGTACAGATTCTCCACGTTCATCGTCCACTGGAAGCTAAGTCACCGCCAGCTAGGAGCATCCAGATTGCGCAACATCAGGTTGAAACTAAGGACCGAAGATTTTGCTTCTCTTTCCTATTCGAGGAGATGAAAAAATGGAACGGACGGAGCTTACTTTGGAGGGGTAGTGCTCGCGCGTCACGCCTCGCTTGTGACGTATGGGCAGAGTGAACTCATACTGAGAGGATGGTCACCAATGAAATTGTCGGAGTTTGTTGTTTTCCTGAAGACGATGATTGGTAGAAAGTTAGATTACTCAATGTCGGAGATTTCTCACCAAAGAAAATCATATATTTTCTTTTTCCAGCGACCATCAAGATGTGTTTACATCAGTTATGTTTTAAGAGAAAACTAGCGGAGAGGTCGTGCTTTGCAGGGGCTGGAATGTAACCGTCGAATCGGTACCTGACCAAAAATAGTTGAATCCGTCAACGATTCTGGATTCGAGTGATTGAAACATCGACTCATTGGCCCATAAAATGGTTTTTGATCGTTTTTTTTTATTTTTTAATTGGGAACCATCTAGGCAATCGGTTCCGTTTTATCCTAATCTTGGACCCTGGCAAAAAATTGTTAAATTGGTCAATTACCCATTAATCTGGGCAATCAAACTATTGACCCATTCAATGGTTTTTGGCCTTTTTTTATTTTTATTTTTTAAATTTTTGTTGTTAGAACGGCCATCCGTTCGAACCAAACAGCCAAACCGTTGACCCGAAAACCGATGGCCAGAACGATTCCGTTTTCAGGTCATATGAGTCACACGCTCGAATGACATAACACATATGGTACTGCTTAATGGACCTCATACACTCAATTTTTTGCCGATAATTTTTGTTGTCAGAACGAGTCATCCGTTTTTATTTTTTATTTTTTTAATTGGGAACTGTCCAGACAACCAATTCCGTTTTACCCCAATCTCGGTCCCTGGCAAAAAACTGTTGAATTGGTCAGCGACCTATTGACCCGTTCAATGGTTTTTGGCCATTTTTTTTATTTTTGTTGTCAAATGAGTCGTTTGTTCGAACTGGAGGGTCGAACCGTCGACCCGAAAATCAGTGGCCAAAACGGTTCCATTTTCGAGTCATATGAGTCACACGCTCGAATGACATAACATCATGATTTTTAAAACCGACCTGGAGATCGAACCGATCAGGGGTCCGGTTACCGGGTCGAATAGTCCGACTGTTCAAACCGAACGATCGACCCATTTTTAAAAAATAAAAAAAATATAAAAAACAATCAAAACCATTCGAACAGTTCGATATCTAGTTATTAACAATATTTATAATAACTATTATATATTTATATAATTAAATAATTATATATATCTAATTATCTAACAATTTATATAATTAATTGGAAATGGGTAGTTATTAACAATATTTATAATAACTATTATATATTTATATAATTAGATAATTATATATCTAATTATCTAACAATTTATATAATTAATAGGAAATGGGTTGCTCTCACGTGGGAATCTACTCGCACAAGTAGATGACAAGAAAAAGAAAACAGAGAAAGTTCAGTTGGATGTTTTGGTAATTTAATGCTCGGTTGCCAACTTGCATGGGGACCTTGAAAGGCTCAACCCGCAATGGCGACCGCAAAGTCCATTGGTTGTCGATTCCTGCAGGAGTCGCGAAGGGCTCAACCTATAGAGGCGACCTTGCGAACAGAGCTGACGAGGCTCATCCGAGCTAATTACCATTGAGTGCGAATTTAAAATGAGTTGAGAACTTGGCTTTTAAGTGCAAATTTAAAAATGATTTGAGGTTGGCAAGGTGGCTCCATAGTCTGTTGGCTAATCATGGAGGGCTCGGCCAGTGGGGGCAGCTCCACAGTCTGTTGGCCGTCAACTCCCACGAGAACCATATAGGGCTCGACCTGCAAGGGTGGCCTCACAGTCTGTTGGTCGTCAACTCTTGCGGGAACCATGGAGGGGCTCGACCTGTAGGGGCAGCCTCACAGTCAGGGCTGGGAGATTCTGTTCGGGTGAGACTGTTGGAACTTTTTTGGGCTGATCATTTTGATTCTACCTCCCTATGGGGGTTCCTTTGATCTAGGGGTTGCTGTTATTGCTTGAGAATGCCATTACTTGAGGCATAGAACACGAGTGAGAACTTAGCTTTTGTATAGTGTTTCCCACAGACAACACCAATTGATGATGTGCGATCTAGTAGCTCCCTGCTGAAGGACAGCTCAGACGCCGAGCTGGCGAGTTCCCTGCTGGAAGGTGGCTCAGATGCCGAGTTGGCTAGCTCATCAGGTCGACTTGCAAAGAGACAGTGTCAGAGTGCCCGAGTTGCTTTACCTGGGGTGGGCACTCCAATGCTTAAGTTAGCGGTGTGGAGATTTTAGAGAGAGCTAGAGAGCTAAGTTGTGCATACCTTCTGTTGTTGGAAATGAGACCTTTGTATAGGCGTTGTTTGGCGTGGGCTTCAAGCACCGGGTTTGAGATCTTTAGGAAGACGTGGTTGGCCGGTCTGAAGTCCTCGAAGGTAGTGGCGTACTAGGCTTTGTGCCTTATTCGGTTTCCTCCAAAACATTCAGTGTGGGAGCTGATTTCTGGAAAACCCAAGAGTGACAGGATGCACACACGGAGGAGGTTGGTGTGCATGTCTCGTGGGTTGCCACTTGGACCTCAGTCGAGTTGACAAGTCCTCAAGGGAGGTATCTCCTTGCATCGAGGTCCCTTGGACCGGTAATGATGAGGCACCACAGATCTGCCCTAGACAAGGTGCTCGAGTTGTGTATGAGGTCGCTAGCTGGGACTCCATCAGATTGGTAGAGATAGGTTGCCAGATGGGTCTCTAGTAGGTCAATAGTTGGGTTTTCATCATTTTTCTAAGGCAAGTCATCATCCTCGTGGTGTTGGGGTGTCATCCAACTATTTTGAGATGCCACATGTCATGATGTCAGTGGAGGGCCAAATATGCCCTCATCATGTCCAAACATCTAAATACAATATTTTTGTAACTATTCCATAAGCACCAACAAAG